GTCCAGAGAGAGAGAGACGCTGAGGCCGCGGGGTGTGTCTGGAGTCCAGGGGGAAAATGGGTCAAAGTACACCCCACCCAGCCCTCCTGCTTTCGTGGGGCAGGCGGTGCTTCCATATCCGCGCTGAATGGCGGTAGCAGCCCCTGACCCAGGAGGTGGTTCTGAGATGTAAATGCAATGATGCCTGAAAACTCACTCCCTGCTGACTATTACTGACCCTGCAATTAGCTTCCGGAATCCACCTTCACCATTTTCTCCTCATCTCTTCAGCTCCATATACCCATCCTCCATCCACCATCTGACTTTCATCTGGCCACCCACCCCCTTCTCCCAGCTCGCCATCTCTTCATCCTTATGTTCATCCACCTCCACCTCCTCCCCTCTGGGCACTGACTGTTCTTTGGGTGGGCGTTCCCTTCCTCTCAGGAATGTACAGGAAAGGCCAGGCCATGGACTTGCCTGCGTGACTGATGCCCAAGTGTTATGGCAAGCTCCTGGTTTAAACAGCGCCACAGGAGGACAAGGGGGTTCATGGGAGGTGGAAGTTGGCATTTTCTGCAGGCATCTCAGGGACCCCTGACCACTCACCACCTGGCTACAGCTCTCAGGCCATCACCCATACTGCGGGAAGCCCGTGTGAGCCTCATCGACCTGGAGTTATGCAACTCGACCGAATGGTACAACGGGCGCATACGCTCAACCCAAGTGTGCGCAGGCTTTCCTCAAGGCAACATTGACACCTGCCAGGTAACCTCCCCCTTCCCGCCCCCCCCCCACACCTATGCCCAGGTACCAGAGTCCCTCTCCCTTGTGAGGCTCCTGCAGGTTCCCAGGCACTCAGGGGGCATCTCAACTATCACCTTTCTCTGCGTAGGCCCTTCTCCTGTGACTCCCTTCCGTAATCATGATGAGGGTGGGAGGGAACTCCAACCAGCAACTCCTACAAAGACCCACTCCCCAATTTGAGCACGTCCTCCTGCACACAGACTGGGCCCCCAGAGAGCAGACTGAGCTGCCCCCACCCCCACCCCCCAACACAAACACTTGAAGCCACGCACGTGCTCAGGCTCCTATCAGGTAAAACTTCTGTTCTCACTACAAGGAAACCTGTGACAGTTCACACCCTTCTGAGCCCCCCCTGGAGCTGTTGGCACCACCTCCACCTTCACCTCCACCTTCACTTTCACCTCCACCTCCACCTCCACCAACCAGCACCCTCAGGGCAGCAGGAAACCACAGGGCTGCAGACACTGTCTTCCCTGAGTCCCATGGCGCCACTGGGCAGAGCAGGTAACTGCCAGAGAGTGACCTCTATGTCCTTCTGGGCAGGGGGACAGTGGCGGGCCACTCATGTGCAAAGACAACGTGGAAAACATCTTCGTGGTCGTGGGAATCACAAGCTGGGGGGTAGGCTGTGCCCGCGCCAAGCGTCCTGGTGTCTACACATCGACCTGGTCGTACCTGGACTGGATCGCTTCCAAGATTGGTTCTAACGTCTTGCACAATATTCAACCTGGCACCCCTCCCCCTCCGACGCCTATAAAAGTTCCTGTTCGGCCCCCCACTGCCCAGTCCTCCTCTCATCCTCCCTGGTATTACCAACGCCCTCCTCAACCCAACCCCCTACATATGCCTGCAGTCCAACCCCCACCCCCACCTCCATCCCTGCCCCCGCCCTCGCCTCAGTCTCCGCCTGCACACCCACCCACCCACCCACACTCACACTCACACCCACAGAAACCCCTACAACCTCCACCTCCACCCCCGCCTCCTACCACCCCTTCCCAAGCACTGTCTTTTGCCAAACGCCTTCGGTTCCTCATAGAGACCTTAAAGGGTAGGAGCTATTATGACATAGAAGAAATAGAGATCTCCGAACCTGCCTCCTCCCTCTGACCTGCTTGATCCTCAACAGACTCAGTGAGAAAAGAGAGAGAATCAATAAACAAATAAATATATATATATACATTTATACATATATACACTTGAAGAGCTTGCTTTCTGGACTTTTTCTTAGCTGCTCCCCCAGCTCAACCCAAACCTGCCCACCTCCACCCTTCAGTTTTAAGAATTACTTGTGCATTAGTGCCAATTACATTTTTTATAGCCATGATTTCTAACACTGGAATAAGGTGGCCAGGGGACATGGTCAGAGACCATCCTTATTGCACACAACCAAGATGACATGTTGAAAGTAAAAGAAGCAGGTTCCTGGGAGCGAAAACAGCTCGTGCTCCAGGAAGCCGTTTTGCTCCTTGCTCACTGCTGGCACGTGGAACATTGCTTGCTCAAGGTCATTACTGGGCTGCAGGCAAACCCAGCATTTCCTGGCTTCAAGCACATTAGAAAATTATGGTTGATGAGAGCTTACCAGGGATAGCAATGGGGATTTCCTTCTGGGTGTCCCTGAGTGAGCTTTGAATGATGTCCTTACCAATTGGGCAACTTTTAATTTTTAAAAAAGATTTCTCACTTTAAGGAACAGAAATCAAATCGAGCCATTTAAGAGGGAGAAGTTGTATGCATTATGATATAATGCATATGTACATTGTGATATATGCAGTGCATTGACAGGGCACTGCCAGAATTTCAAACCAGATCCCAAAGAAGATATGGAATGAGTGAGCACTACCACTGCCAACATAGATGGAGCTTGGCTGAAAACAGAGAGTCCTAGAACGATGTTTATCTGTGTTTTATCGACCATGCAAAGGCAGTCAACTGTGTAGATAATAACATAACAAATTATAGATAACATTGTGAAGAATGCAATTTCAGAACACTTAACTGTGCTCATGCGAAACCTGAACATAAACCAAAGGCTTGTTGGAACAAAGTAAGAGGAAATGGCACAGCTTAAGATCAGGGAAGGTGTGCGCCAAGGCTGTCTTTCCACCACGCTGCTTCCACCCGATGCTGAGCAAGTTGCCCTGCCCGAGAAGCTGGACTGTCATGACGGGTTGTGGCATCAGAAGACTCACCAACGACCCACAATAGCAGATGACACCACCATGCTTGCTGGTGAAGAGGACTTGAAGCACTTACAGCCTTCAGTGTGCATCACAACTCAATGTAAAGAAAGCAAAAATCTGCACAACTGGACCAACAGACAACATCATGATAAAGGAAGAAAAGGTAGAAGTCGGTCAGGATCAAAGAACGGATAACATTGGGGAAATCTGCTGCACAGGATCTCTCGGAAGTGTTAAGAGCACTTTGAGGACTAAGGTACTAATGAGCCAAGACAGGGCATTTCCCATTGGCCCATGGGCATGTGGAAGCTGGGAAATGAACAAGGAAAATGGAGAAGAATTGATGCATCTGAACGATGGTGTTAGAGAAGGGTACTAAATATGCCATGGACCACCAGAACAGCAGACACGTTTGTGTTGGAAAAAGTACGGCCAGAAATGTTACTTAAAAGCAAGGATGGAGACACTTTGTCTCTTGTACTTTGGACATATTATCAGGAGAGGCCAGTCCCCGGAAAAGGTAGAGGGTCAGCAAAAAAGAGGAAGACGCGCTACAAAATGGATTGGCACAGCGGTGGCAATAGTGGATTCGAACAGAAGCACTGATTGTGAGGATGACAACAACAATGTGAAGCACAAAGATGCCACACAGACCCCACAGGAGGGGTCATGAGCAGACACCAGGATGGGGGGGGAGGGGGGACTTGCGGGGAGGTGGCAGGCCTGGCGAACGTTGTGTTGACTGACTCTCATGCTTTTGTTCAAGCTGCCCCACAGCTGGAATTGCTCATATAGTTCTGAAATTCCTAAGAAAGGAAAGAAATCCTGGGAGATGCAGGCCACTTGTCCACTCTGGATTAAAAAATGGCAGGTCCCAGAAGAAATGCCGACTCACCTTTATGAGGTCTACTCACCATGCTGCCTGTGGGTGTGTGGGACTGGCAACGGAGTGAGAGGGAGAAGACCAGCTAGGGAGCTTTGAGCAAGGTGCTTTGTAGTATTAAATTAAAAATGTGGCACAGGGGAGTGGGGTGCCAGCCCCACCCGCTGCTGGAACTCACTGGTTCAGTAATACTACTTCTGGGTTCAGTAATGCACAATTGTATGGTTGAGATATATAAGCATTATATTAAAGTCATCGAGAGCATGAGAGATAATACAATAATACAGTCAGACATATTACATGGTAGCATTGCTCACCTCCGCCGCCCTTGGTGGTCCTCGTGGGGGGAACCCGGCTGCCAGAGCAGGAGCCGCCTCCCCCGCGGGAGCTGCCCTCTCGTCCACCGCCCTCATGGGAGCAGCCCCCCTTCTTCAGCCGCCCTCTGCCAGCCACCCTCCCGAGAACCAGGGAGCCTCCTTACTTATTGCTAACCACGCATCATATTACTTTAGGGGGATACATCACAGCATCATGCATCACAGAGAGGGGCAATACAATTCACAACAACCTACGTCATAGGGAGGGGTTGCAACATAGGCAATACAAGCAATAGGAGGGGGATGACCTAGTCATCTTAGAGTGGTCCCGGGCTTTCCTTTGGGCACTGCTTCAAGGGAACAATAACAGAAAGGAATGGGCCCTATTTGGGGTGAGTCAGACTATACAGTCTGGCCGCTCTAGATGGCTGATGTTAGGAGAATAACCTCTGACCTATTTTCGCTGCCTAATGAACAGTCATTCTCAAGCTAAGTCTGGCATATATTTTGGGGAGACAACTTAAGAGAAATCCTTCTGTTCCTCACAATTCCTCCTTTTGTTTTATATATATAAAATTCAAAAGAGCCACAGTGGCTACATGGTTATTTCCTATACATTGAAAACTGCCAAGGCAAAACTTCATGATCCAATTAATATAGCCAAAATTTCAGGCTTATAGCAAACACTTGGAATTCAGGCTTGGAGGATAAAGACCCCCTATGCCCATCTGCTATTGGAAGAAAGTATGAGAGGGGCTGGATGCTGCGGCGGCGGGAAGGAAAGGAGCAATTAGGCATGCCTGCTTCTATGGGGAGAACGAATCAACCATGTGGTCACTTTCACGGCATCAAGGGAGAAACTGGGGAAATGAAAAGCAACCGCAGGAACATGTACCTGGACTACACCCCCAACTCCCAGGGTGGCGGTCTTCCAGCCGTGGAATGCCAGTTTTCCAGATTCCCCCTGTACCCGTCAGGGAATAAGTCCCAGTTCTATTCCCTTTGGTGCTAGTATCCCACATTTCCCCTTTCAGCATTACGTTTAAGATTCAATAGTGTCACTGAGGCAACATGGTCTCTTTTCATATCTCTTAGCTTCCCATAGAAGCGACATGAGACTGTGCGAGCATCAAAATTATGATGATAAACAACACAGTCAGACTAGAACTTAAGCTATGAGAAATGCTTTGAGCCCAAGATCACGGGTCCAACCCTTCCATGCCTTTCACCAATTGCTTAATCATATCAGAGCCAGGAGATGCCTCAAGCTTGTCTTTGAATGTATAGAAAATATCCTTCTAAAGCTGATTAACATCTAATGAAATGTTTCCTTTAAACTCTTGCAAATGTTTCTTAATCAAATCCCAATCATGCAATGTCTTATTATAAGGATAAGGGGTAATACAGAAATCCGTAACATTCCAATCACACTTTAGCATTAACTGATGTTGTAGGTCCATGATTTGATCTCCTAACCACTGGACAGTTTGTTGCAGCTCTGCCACTTTTCCCCCCAGTTCA